GGCCGTTTCTGGAAGCTATGGTGAGAATGTACAAAAGCAGAATCTGTGGACGAGGGAAAACATTTTCTATAAAAAAAAACCCAATCCAGGGAACGTTATCAGGTTTGTGAAGACAGGACACGTCAGGGAAACAAACCCACAGCCTCTCACAGCTGCAACGTCAGGTTTTCATGGTCTGGTGACTGTGTGGCTGGTAACATTTTCTAAATGTTTCATCAGTGACGGTGACCGATCAGATGAAGGAGGCGCTCTTCAGGCCCTGGCTCCGCGGAGCAGCCAGATTAAAATAACAATGATTCAATAAAGTGTGGTATATTAGAATATGGAGTCGAGCAGAGCCAGAGCTGGTGGAGTGAATTAGAGGGTGAAGAGAGCAGGACCACCAGGAGGAGGAGGAGGAGGAGCTGGAAAAGTGGAGCTGGAGGCATGGACTTTAGTGTTAACATTAAATAATGCTGTGCTGAAATAAGATTTATCATTCAAACAAGTTGATAGAAGCACTCTTCCAGTCATGCTAGCAGCAGCAACACATATAGCATGACTAATGTTAGGATTGTGGGCACACATGTGTTAGCGTCTCACGATAAAGTGCTAGCTGTGGGCATGTATTTAAATAACGCTAGAAAAAAAACAAACATCTATCTTTCAGGTTATGCTAACAGTTGCTACAATTGCAGTAAAACGGTTCGTGTTTCTTTAAATTCATGCTAAAAGAGCTACACTGACTTCCAGTCGTCTGAGCCTCATCCAGGTCAGAAAATCCAGGATCAGGCTCCGGGAATTTTTTGATCTTGGCCCAAAAAACCTGGAGCATTCTGTCACTCCTCTCCTGTTAATCTGCTAAATAGTAAATTGATTCCTGTGATTGATGTGTGAGCACCTCCTGGAGGACAAATCCGTCTTCTTCTTTTTTTTTATATTTTAGACTGAGGGCCTGAGAGCAACTGCAGCAGAGATCAGTCAAAGACGTGGGATGAAGAGGTGAGGACAACAATGAGGATCAACAGGATTCAAATCCTGCTCTCTGATCCAGGTTCTCTGATCCAGGTCCTCTGATCCAGGTCCTCTGATCCAGGTCCTCTGATCTGGTTTCTCCACTCTGGATTATCTGACCTGGACTCTTTATAAACCACATAAACTACAGCTGATATTCAGCAGGTGTCAAAACCCACGATTGAAGCTCATGTTGTTAATGTTTAAATTTGTATCTACTCTTAGCAGCGTATTAAAGTAGCCAATAATAATGTATCTAAGTTAAGAGGTTAGCTCCTATTAGCATCATTTCATCATCAAGACCTTTGGGGTTAAATTTGTTTGTCTCTTAGCTCTACTATAACAATGTTAGTGCCACTGTAGCTTCTGCTACGTTTATGAGGCTAACTCAGGGTTAGGCTAAACAATAGCCACTGTTAGCATTGTTTTGAAAATGAAAAAACGACACTGAATATGGAGCATCTTTTGTAAGCATCCCTTAGAAGAGAACCTCTTGACACTAATTATGCTGCAGCTAGTGTTAAAAATCAGCCTGAAGAGGCTAACACTCATTAACCTCAATAAAAACACTCAGAAGTCTCTGTCTGCATAAAAATATTTTTATCCAGCGCCAGCGTGGGGTTTCATTTTCCAGCTCAATGTGTCGTTAGCGTCTGCTGAGCTACGGGGATGAAAACGTTTGTTTTTACCCCTGGATCATGTTTTTGCTCAGCGTGTCGTCTCTTTAATGGATCATACAGCTGTAAAATCAATCACCGTAACAATTAATGACTGTGATCATGCAGAGCGGCAACTGCGTCGAGCGGCTGGCACGGAACGACGATGTGAGAGAGGAGACGGAGCAGTGGTTCTCTGCTATGGTGTCTCTTAAAATTCCAGCATTGCTCACTGTTGGCTCTTGACTAACGCGGCTGCCGCTGAGCCTCTGTTTGGGACTCTCATTGTGTGGACACCTGCTGTCTCCACATGTAGTCCACTGATAGCTCTGCCAAGCTTTTGCCTTTTGATGTCTTAAGGTGTCTCAATTTGCCACTCCAAAGTCCATTCAGGAAATCTGGGACTTGGTAGGGATATTGGATCTAAAACGTACCACAGCCACTTACTGTAGATCCTTTGTTATTTCACAACTTTCTTAAAAGTAAAAAAAACTTTGGTTTAGTTTTTTTTTCAGTTGATTTAAGTACCACAGGGGGCAGCAGTGCTCCTGAGCTAAATCACTGATTTTCTTAATGTATTTTGGTTTGAGTTTCTTGTTGAAATTGTTGTCTATCAACACATTTGGAGTTCTAAACTATGAAGTGTCAGTGTCAGTGAGGAGCCTGGTTCCAGGTACTTGTTGTGAGACCTCGTGTTGGGTCTGTTTCTTTCTAATAAATGAGTCTTTAATGAACAAACACAGGTTCTGTTTCCCTCTGACAAGGTCATGTGAGGACGGCTGCCTGTGTGTGTGTGTGTTAATCAGTGATGTTTCATTATCCCTTGATGCTCCTCCGTTCCATCTAAAAGTAGCTGCTTCCCAGAGCGCACTGCAGCTCCTGCTGTCCATTTCACTGCCTATGTGGTGTGGGACACAGCCAGAGCTTAGAAATGACAGAGTAGCAGCAACATTATTTTCTATTCAAAAAGAGCTAATAATAAAATAAAATAAAAAAATAGCTAAAGATAAACTTAAACGGTAAAACGATATCCTAAAAAAGTTAGAAGAGAGCCTGTAGCCCTGCCATATCATAAAAATATGTGATTCCAATTCAATGTCAATAAAACTGCAGAGATTTATGGACAGGACAGAGGAAGCTGAGCCGCACCTCTGTCTCAGAGACAGTGCACTTCCATGTCATACAGCTAGGGGCAGAGTTGGTAAAAGAGACCATGACCAAGGAGGAAGAGGACGAAGAGGAGGAGTTAATTAAAGGCCATTGGCCAACCTTTATTGACCTACATGGAGCTCCCTCACCTTATATGATATTTTTACCGCTCCCCACCCCCGCACCTCCGCCCCCTCCCTCTCCTGCTCCAAGCTAAGAGTAAATGTCGTCTCCAGACGAAAACGCTTTGATGAAAGCTCCTTAAACTAATATCAAACTTCGTTTTCTTTTCAAATGAGGCTTTTAAGCCCCTGGAAATGTCCTGAAAATGCTAATGGTGGCGTGTATTTGTGCGTTAATGGCGTGGAGCTGCTTCCTCGTGTCCATAAATTCTAACATGTACCACGGTTCCGCGCTGCCACCCAGCCAACGTCTCACTTATTACCCTTTAGAAAATGGAGCAGGGAAAAGGTTGGGAGTGAGGAGGTTTCAGAGGAGGTGTTTCCAGCTGCTCCTTTAATCATCATCAGCACGCAGTGACAGAACCGGCCTCGCCGCGTCCAAACGTGGGCCAGACAGCCCAACAAAAAAGCCCATCTGCTGAGCCCATTCTTCAGCAGCCCAGCTCTAATCTGAATAAATGAGGCTGCAGCTCCGCTGATTCTGAGAACGGCTGTGCTCCCACCAGGAGAGGAGCAGGAGGAGCAGGAGGTAAAGTTGTGATCGTTGAAATATTTGCATTAGATTTGAGGCTAAATTATAAAATGATATTTATCTGCCATCTTGAAAAACAAAATATACCATTTGCAGGTTAGGATTTTTTTGTGCAGTGAGAGTAGAGTGAAAAAGTTGTTTAAAAATAATAGGCAAATACGGGTACCAGGTACACAGTACACAGAAATTGAAAATATTTGGTTTAATAGTTTGTAGATTTGTGTTAGTCTGATTAGGCTTTTATAGATCAACGGTGATGGAAGTTAGCTTGGTTTTGGAGACAAGGTACTTTGGATACTTCAGGAGCCGTGCGACTTTAGAGTTTTTTAGAGTTAGCACTAGTTAGCTGGGTTTACAGGCTAGTCTGGGCAATTAGTGAGCTAGTGGTTAAAGAGTTTGTCATGTGATTGGAGGACTGCTGGTTCAAATTCCAGCCTCTTTGTTTGAACCTCAACAAGTCAAGGAACTGTTTGGTCCTTTAGACCTGGACCTGGACCTGGACCACTACAGAGACCTGAAGGAGCTCCTGGCAGCACCGTGTTCAAGGCTACGTGATGCTAGATCTAGCAGTCATCCAATCAAAGCAGCTACAGACAGCCTGCATCAAGTGGACCAGAACAAATGGACCAGACCACGTGGGACAAATGTCTCCACCACCTGAGAGTGAAGGGATAAGAGAACAAAGAGTGTGAGGATTAATGAGTACTAACACGTGTTACTGTTTCCTGATCATGTCCACGGGGGTGGGAGGGGGCGCTCCTGTCTCACTAACATGTGGATTAACTGAACTAATCTGACCTTTAGGGCAGAGCTTAACAAACTTCAGAGGTGTGAGGTGCAGGGCTCTGACCCGCGGTCTGTATCTCAGACAAACACGGAGCTGCAGTGAGTGATGGATCATTATCTCCTCACCTGGAGCCTCTGCACTGCAGCAGCTCCCCTTTAACTTCACTTCATAAAAGCACAGTCAATAAAGAAAGATCCTCAGCCTGGATCCTAAGTCCCAGTGTGGTCAAAGGAAGACGGCAGCCTTCTAATCCACACTCCAGATCCCAGTTTAGAAATAATCCCCGACCTGCTGCAGCTACAGCAGTAGTACAAAACTCTGTCAAGGATTTCTTCCCTTCATTTTCAACCTCACAGGTGGAAAGTTTACGACAGATGTGCAGCTGGTAGGAGCCGCGACCTCGCCGCTCGGCTGATCACTTATTGAAACCATCCATATCCTGGGTCTGCACACGTGCACGGCGGTGCACTTCCTCTAAATCATCCAGACTAAATGCCTGCATCTGTCTATATCCTGCTTGTGTAATTGCCACCATCTCATATCGATTAGACTCAGAAATCCACTGAGCCTAATGTGATTTCATTAAGATACAGATTCTAAACAAATACATCAGAGGAAGAAGAGTCGCCGTATTAAAGATCACGGCTGCAACACAGAGGGAAACACTGGGACAGAAAAAGGAAAAAACAAGAATCTCTTACCGTAGTCTATGTCGTAGAAGACCACGAACTTCTGCCAACGCAGCTCCTCCACCAGTGTCAGCATCACCTCGTTGAGTCGCACCGGCGGCCGCGCAGCCAGGGTGTAGCGCTGCCCTCCTGGACTGGGGGTGAACTGACAGGCGGTGCGCGGCGCCCCCTCGCTGTTCCTCTGGATGTACAGGTGAGGGATGTGCATGGCGTCGGTCAGGGATTGTAGAGCGCTGGCCGACGCACAGCCTGTCGACGTCACCAACGCCAGGATGCCCTGGTTCATCAGCTCACAGGCTGCATAAGATAGAGAGTAGGGGGCAGTGTTGAGTCGTGAACTCAAAATGTTGTTTATATTCAATAGTCCACACAGCTCGGGTCCTTTACCACGACCCCTAAACCCAACCTTAACACTGACTCCACTCCAGCCAAAGTAACTCTATCTCCACCACAACAGTCGTCCAGGTTAACCATAACTCTAACTAAACACTAATCACAACTTAACCCTGACTAACCTGAACCAAAGTAACTCTACTGTTGTCGATGGCTAATCCTGGCTCCGTGGCTAACACCCACAGGTAACAGTTAGTCAGAGTCTGCTGTTTGGAGGACGTTTCTGCTTGACCTTCTGTTCAGAGAACATTGTTTTACATTTTTTACATCTTGTGGTGTTTTTTCATTTGCATTACAGCAGCAGCAGCAGCAGCAGCAACAGCAGCGTGTGGTCTCCTCTGACTGCAGATAAGATCAGCATAGACAAATCCTCATTAACATAAAGACCCTGAGGATTCAGTCTGTCTTGTGGAGCTGAAGGATCCAAACTTATAAAGAAATATTTTTGTTGTTGTTGGTCCAGAGAAGTCACTCGTCTGGACTCATCAGGTTCATTCTTTTGTTTGTTTTTCTGGGCGTGGGGAGGGGAAGGGGGGGTGATGGGTTTTCGACTGCCCACCGATTATCTTCGCCTCCCTGCCCTCGACGTGACACTCCACTGAATCTCATTTCCTCCTGCTTTTTGTTTTTCAAGCTTAGTAAATGAACTAGGCGTCGCCGGAGGACGAGGATGAGGCGGAGCCAAGGTCATGAGTTCAGCCTGAGCTAAACATGGGTTTGACTTCTTCTTTTCAAAACAACTAACTGAATTTTTGTTAATTTGTTGAAAAAAAAATTTATTTATATTTAAAATAATTATTTAAAAACGTGTGTGTGTTGGTTCTCAGTCATCCAGGTCAACTTAAAAACCAAATCATTGATTTTTGTTTTAGAAATTTCTCTACAATGAAGTCCTAAGTCAGAGTTTGTTTTCAATCAGCATCTGGATCCAACAGGGAACAGAACACGGTCCACATTTAATCAGAGTCTGGATGAGGTACAAGTCTGGTTGTGGTTTGTATTAGGGTCTGGTTTAGACCAGAGTGTGGACCAGATGATCTGCCCCTGGTCTCTGTCCTCTGGTGTCCTGACTCGGGTGTCTCTCCTCTGGTGTCCTGACTCCGGTGGCTGTCCTCTGGTGTCCTGACTCGGGTGTCTCTCCTCTGGTGTCCTGACTCGGGTGTCTGTCCTCTGGTGTCCTGACTCGGGTGTCTCTCCTCTGGTGTCCTGACTCGGGTGTCTGTCCTCTGGTGTCCTGACTTGGGTGTCTGTCCTCTGGTGTCCTGACTCGGGTGTCTCTCCTCTGGTGTCCTGACTCGGGTGTCTGTCCTCTGGTGTCCTGACTTGGGTGTCTGTCCTCTGGTGTCCTGACTTGGGTGTCTGTCCTCTGGTGTCCTGACTTGGGTGTCTGTCCTCTGGTGTCCTGACTTGGGTGTCTGTCCTCTGGTGTCCTGACTCGGGTGTCTCTCCTCTGGTGTCCTGACTCGGGTGTCTCTCCTCTGGTGTCCTGACTCGGGTGTCTCTCCTCTGGTGTCCTGACTCCGGTGGCTGTCCTCTGGTGTCCTGACTCGGGTGTCTGTCCTCTGGTCATTAGGATTCATGAGGGGCCTTTGGGATGAACACTGCAGCAACAGCAGCTTCATTTACGGTGATGAAAGCGTGACTCAGCGTGGACTCACACAGACACACACCGCTGCCTTCAGCTGCTCCGACACTTTACCCATCAGCCACTGCAGCGGGGCAGGGCCAACACTCTCCTCCTGATACAGGAAGCTAATTATTCAGGGGAGGATGGGGAGGATGGGGGGTTGGGGGGGTGCTGTGAATCGAAGCGTCTGATTGGTCTGGCTTCATTAGTGGTGTGATGGAGTCATGTTCTAATGGAGATCAGCTTCATTTAGTTCTGGATAAAGAGGAACTGAGATCCACTGGGAAAGGGTGGAGGAGGAGGAGGAGGAGAGGGTGACACATCCACCCACTCCTCCACCCATCAGCTCAGCCATCCATCCAAATACTGTACATTAGTGCGTTCATCCGACCATTCATCCATTCATTCATCCGATCAAACAGATCAAACATGTCTATTGAAACACTGACTCATCCATCCGTCTACTCATCCATCCGTCTACTCATCCATCCATTATCCACCTCCCATTAGCCTCGCCTAAATGTCACTGCATTCAACTAAATGTCCGTCTGTCCACCAACTACCAACCAAACAACCATCCAACCACATATTTGTCCATGGATTTATCTGTCCTCCAGTCGGTACATCATCCATCCATCCATCCATCCATCCATCCATCCATCCCTCACAGCTCTGCAGCAGTATTTCACCTCCTCTCTCTCTACTTGTTCAGATTTATGATCAACACCGTCCCTGTATATTTTCACACACTTCCATAAAGGTGCTGATGTTTGCCACAGTCTCACTCACAACTGCTGAGTCACTGTTAATTACATTCTTATCTCTTTGTGCTTCACTGTGTGACTTTCACTGTGTGTCTGCCACAGACAAAAAGTCAGACGGAGGCAGAGTGGAAAGAAAAAGGAACTGCTCCTTTATGTATCTATTTGTATTTTTCTGTAGGCTGTGTGTGTGTATGTGTGTGTGTGTGTGTGTGTGTGTGTGGATTAGTTCTGCTCTGGGCTTATCTACCTCTGGCTCTGCTTTATTGGTGCAGAGTTAAAGGTGGTCAGGTGTGAAAGAGAGAAACCACACCAGTGAGTGTGTGAATCCAGGATAAAGAGAGCAGAAATGGACTGGAGTGTTTTCTGTCCTGTGACTAATCCTCTGATTAAAATCACTTTGACACAGTCAGACCTGAGGTGATATGAAATATGTGTGAGGCTGCACCAGTATCACGTCAGAAACACTCCCCGAGCAGGAAACTGCAGTCTGTTCAACCAACGTCCGTGGACAAACAGAGTGACTTTAGCTGCGATGGTGCTCTATTTGGTAAAACCACAGCAGTAGATCAGGGGCTCCTGGGGGCCCGGCCCCTCAAATCACTGATTTCTCTGTGGACTTTGATGAGGACCAGTAAGACAGTTATAAACACACACACACTCACCTAGGAATAAATAACGGCTAACAGCTGAAATGGAGCTAAACAAGCCAAAGAAAGCTGGGTTTTTTCTAGCGTTAGCATTAGCTGCAGCTGTTCCTATTCAGAAGTCTGACCAGAAACGTCACAGTCAGTGTTTAAACAGCACAGCTGCTGTTTTCCTCTGTGCTACAAACAATTGTTTTCTACATGAACTTTGTGTTCATGTAGGACAAACAGTTACCAACACTGTATAAACTGGGCAGCTTTGTTGAACCCAGGATTAATCAGTGATTAATCAGTTGGTAGTTACATTGACACTGTACAGATATTTAATTAAGTGTCAGACAAGCCTAACATATTTACATATAAAAGGCTGTAAAATTGAACAAACACTGCGCCTGATTGGATCCTGGCGTCGACAAATGAAGATTAATCCACTAATCTGTGACTCATCGCTGAAGTCCTTGTTAAAGAACTAAAAATATTTCATCCTTTTGTTTCCCAGCAACCGCACTAACAGGAGGCGGTGAGGAATCAGCTCCTTTAAAATCTGTTTTTAGAGGAAACACACAAACACACAAACACACACACACACAGGCACACAGAGATATTTAACACGCGTGCGACCAGCAGCGATTTATTTTTATTAAAATGACCCAGCGAGTCAGGTTTGGGTAAAAAAAGATACTAATTTTATACAAGATTAAACTCTCAGTGTTTCAGTGCGAGCTCATTATCTCCACTTTCACACATTCGTTCATTTAAATTTTGTAGAGTGAAATTATTCCCTGGTTTTATTAAAAAAACTGTTACTGCTGCTGCTGGTGTTTTTAATAAAGACCAATTTAAACGAACTGTGCTGTGAATGGGTCGTGCTGCAGTTCACTCAAGTCTGACTCTTAACAACGTTAACCAGCTGCTGCTGCTGCTGCTGCTGCTGATGCTGATGATGCTGCTGATGCTGCTGCTGCTGCTGATGCTGATGCTGATGCTGATGCTGATGCTGATGCTGCTGCTGATGCTGCTGCTGTTACTGCTGCTGCTGCTGATGCTGATGATGCTGCTGATGCTGCTGCTGCTGATGCTGATGCTGATGCTGCTGCTGCTGATGCAGGCTTTTATTTTTATTATTTCCACTGCTTTTCTTCATCCACTCATTCTGTCTCTGACCAAAGTCACCACAGAACTTTTCAGCTTTTCTTGGCCTTCTTCCTCACCTTCCGTCTTTCTGGAGACAAAACACTGCCAGAGAAGTTTTAAACTTTGGACAAAAAGGCCACTCAGCTGAAGAAAACAGGACCCAGGAGGAAAAACAATAAATATAAACAAGGGTGGAATCAGGAAAAATACGGGGGGAAAAAGAGCTCCATACAGGAATGTTACACCTATAAAGCCAGCTGATCACAGTGGTATAACCAACAGATGCTAATAAAAAAGGCTAGCTAGCCACATCAGCGACGTTCTGATTTTAGCTTGAGGTTTTTAGCAGGAGCTAACTTCACTCAGAGACTCGGAGACAATAACTACGTTTATGACAAACAATTTGCTGCTTGATTTATTTCCATTTATAGTCATACATATTTACAACAAAATGTTAGCTCCATGAGAAAACACTGCTGAACAAATCAACAACAACTGAAGAACGTTTTCTCAAAAAGTTGACAGTGAAACATCTCAGAAATGCAAATGTAGCAACATGACCACACACACACACACACACAGACAGACACACACAGAGACAGACACACACTCTGCTCATTTCTCACCTCGGAACAATGGGGTCTTCATTTCTCTCATGCTTAATTAAACTATCTATCTCCATGGATCTCCAGCTCCATTACCCATAACACCCTGCACTGTTGCAGCCCCACCTCC